ATCCCAGATCCCTCCCACCCCCCATCACCCACATCCCAACCTGCCTCTGTGTCAGGGCATTCCCTTTTGTTCTCTCTCTACTTTTGGGTGCTGTGGTTTGCAAAAGAGGCATTGAGTGGCAATCATGTTCGGTCTAGAGTCTACTTTCAGCATGCTTCTCCCATCCTGGGAGGATCCTCCCAATACCCTTTATTTGGTGCTCTCTTCTCTATCTGAGCTACCTTTTCCCCTAGCATGTGTGACTGGCCTCCAAACCAGGGAGTAAACCTCCTGGTACTTATCTCGGCTATTCTTGGGTGTTAGTCTCCTATTTTGTTACTTTATGTTCCCCAGATGAATGCAATCTTTCTATGTCTATCCCTCTCTTTCTGACTCATTTCTTTGGTGCTGCTCCTTTGTGTCTTCTGTGAGTCATCTAATGCAGTTTCAGATATGTGTTCTTTAATGTTAGACTTGCTCAGTTTCTTGTGTTCACATTTATTTTGGTGAGATTGGAAAAGGCTAGTGGACTATTGGCATAATGTGTTTGTGACAGCCAGGCTGTCCTCCTCAAAATTAGGTCATGGAGATTGAGATGTGAGTCCAAAGTGTTGAAAAAGGGGAAAATTAGAGCAGCCGTATGAGGTGCTGCTGCCTTGGAGGCCATGCCCACCACCACTGCTCTACTTTTGGGGGAGTAGGCCCCAATGGTACCTGATCAGGAATAAAGTCCCACTTCTGATGCACTCCTAAAACTTGCCTGGGAACGCCTCTGTCCTGAGTGCTTGGTGGGGGACAGTATGGCCAACGGTGAGAAGTCTTGCAGTTCCCTGAGCTGGATTTCTGGCACACTGCCCTGGAGTGCACACCCACCAACCACTTGCCTTCTATTTTAAATCCCATCAAATGTGGTGTGCTACTCTTGATCTATCAGTGGTGTAAAGTATAAGAGGTCCAGGAAGAGATTCATTCATGGGTGAGGCTTGTCTGAGCGTGTGAACAGTGGCTGTGAGAATAGAGATGGTTGAGTTATGGACAATACGACTAAAAATATGATAGAAAACTTCCAAAATCTGATCTATTTATTTATTTCTGTTTGGGGGCGGCCACACCTGGTTGTACTCAGGGATTGCTCCTGGCTCTGCATTCAGGAATCATTCCTGGAGGAGTCACTATATAAAAAGTCAAAATAGTTTGCAAATTAATGTGGAGCAGGGAACCACAGTGGTCATTTTAATTTAAGTCCTGGTTCAAGATATTGCTACTTGCCCAATAGCTACACACTTTCCATTAACAATTTCTATGTTTCTTTATGAGTGAAATAGAAAAAAGATTTTTACGTTTTATATGTACTGGTTTCAAATATTTGTTACTGGAGCAATATATTGTTTTACAGGCTATTATGTTATTGATGTGCTGTTTTGTTTAGGTTCTCTATGATTGCTGGAACAAATCACGTGTTAGCTTAAACATCAGAAGAAAAAAGTCCGCACTCCTGGAAGCCAGAAATTTCATATACAGATCACTGGGAAAAAGATGTCAGCCGGGATGCATGCTTTCTTTAGAAGATCTTTAGCCTGTATTTTTGGTTAACTTCTGATAACTTCCACGAGGCTTGTCTGGTAGTTATTACACTCAGGTCTTTGCCTCGAGGGTCACATGACCTTCTCCTCTATCTTCATCATCTTCTTCCTCCATTATGTCAGAACAAGTGTTATTCCATTGACTCACCTGATAATTCACCAGATCTCTCCATTGCCAGCCATAGCATCAATTCAATCAAGTTTTTACTAAACAAAGGAATATTTGCAGGGTTGATGGTTTCTTTGAATGGCATTCTCCATTCAACACCATGATGTTGTTAGCATCTAAAAATACATGAACAAGACTTGTCTTATGTGTGTGTTAATGCTTTTATTTCTGTGTGTTGTAGCCACACCTGATGGTGCTCAGAGCTTCCTCTTGGCTCTGTGCTCAGGAGTAACTCCTGGCAGGGCTCAGGAGACATAGGAGTGCTAGGGAGCCAAGCAGGCCTACTCGTTGAAGGCAAGCACCCTACCCTTTGTACTATGTGTACAACCACTATATATATTTCTTTTAGCCAATTTATGAGACCTCCAGAGCTCTGTGCATTTATAAAGTGTGGAAACCTCTCCAATATGATAGATCCATACAATAGAATATTAGTCAAAGGAAGTAATAACATACTGTAGCACAGATGAACTTTGAAAGCATCAGGATTTTAAAAAAGGCTTCCAAAAGGTGACATATCTTGCGATCCATGTATGTGAAGGGTTTAGAGAAAGAAAATTTATAAAGGATGAGTGTTGCCAGGAACCAGAGGAGAGAGAAAATGGAGAGATCGGTGAGTAGTGAAGAGGCTGTTTTTGGAAACGATGAAACTGTTATGGATAAAATAATGGTCACTGTCACTGTCACTGTCCTGCCCGTTGTTCATCGATTTGCTCTAGCGGGCCCAGTAACATCTCCATTGTGACAATTGTTACTGTGTTTGGCATATCGAATACGTGGAGGGTAGCTTGTCAGGCTTTGCCATGCGGGGGAGATACTCTTTGCCGGACTCTCTACAAAGGGTGGAGGAATCGAGGAATCGAACTCGGTTTGGCCATGTTGGCCGCTTGCAAGTCAAATGCCTTCTCTGCTGTGCTACCGCTCCAGCCCATGGATAAAATAATGGTAATAGTTGCAAAATTAACAAGTATAGCAAATGCCACTGAAATTTGTCTTAAATAATGGATCCCATAAAAAATCATTTATGCAGATGTGTATCTTAAAACGGTACAAGTTCTCTCTCCTTTACTCATTGCTTAGAAGCACCTAGGAAAATAGGGAATAACTGTTGGGCTGTGAAAAATCTTTTCTTTTCTTTCAAACTCTAAGGTAAGGTAAAGGTAAAAGGTAAAGGCCCTCCCGTTGATCGTCGATTTGCTCGAGCGGGCCCAGTAACGTTTCCATTGGAGACTTTGTTGTTACTGTGTCTGGCATATCGAATACTCTCGGTAGCTTGCCGGGCTCTCCGAGAGGGGCGGAGGAATCGAACTCGGGTCGGCCATGTTGGCCGCTTGTAAGGCGAACGCCCTACCCGCTGTGCTATTGCTGATGTAAATGTAGTTCACCTTACCTTTTCACTGTAGTAATAGAAGGCTGGCAGACACACCCCTCAGGGCTCCTAATCCCTGTGCTGGCCAAGGTGTTCTTACTATTTTTCCCTTTGGAAATATTTTGAACACTTCACTTCAAAATCTCTCCCACCACCTCCCAAAAGAAAAAGGAGTCACCACTCTCAATGTTCTGCAGCTTGATTTTTGTTTCTTTTGTCTTTGCATGTTTAACACTTGGTGGTGGTTTTGTGGTCACATCACGTGACGCTGGGAGAACCAGGCTGTCTGCCCAAGATCCAACAGGAGCTCCAGAACAAACTTCAGCTCTTTGAGCTCTCTCTGACCTTGTATGTGACCTGTTATTTTTACCTATTTTATTCCTACTTTTGTTGTTCCTTTAATGAATGGAATACAGTTTTTCACTAAAAAGCATTTTAATGTAACCCACCAACTTTCCCATCATGCCCATCTGCTGTCTCGGTCCCAGTCCTTCCCCGTTTCCTTCCCTTTCATTCATTCACCCCCCCCCCCATATCTCTCCTAGGACCATCTCTTCCCACAACCTCCCTCCCAGCCTCAAGAAGAGCCGGTCCCAACCACTCTGGGAGTGGTGACCTAGTGCGCATGTCCCAGTCCGGATTCTCCCACGGCCCAGCCTCCAACGCCAGTTATAGCGTTGGTTTTTGAGTGAGCTTCCGTTAACATCAATGTTTGGAGCAGGCTGCAGGCACCAGGCACCGCGGAAAAGTCCCGAGACCCCCCTGAAGCTAATATATATTGAGCTCCCAAGTCAGTAATGTCAGGATGCTGTGGTCTGAAAGACACATTGGCCTCCTTGGGGAGTTTGCAAATCCAAAGGTCTTATAGACCTCATTGTTGAACCGCGCTGGCTAAGTGCCCCGGTAATACTGGCTCTGAGTACTGTTGGGAAGAAGAAGTGAAATGGTGCATCTAGGGTTGCTGAACCAGGGGGCTGAGTACATGGCGATTGATCTTTACATGTTCCAAGAGCTGGTATTCGGGCTTCTTGCTACAACTGATCTCTGCTTGGTCCCTATTTACAGTCACCCCTGACTAACTCTGAGGGCGTTGACTGTTCATCTGTAGGTTCTTTCCCCGGGATATGTGTTAGCATCCCACAGCCTGATCATTTCTGGATACACCACCCACTCCTTTTGGAGATATGTCTCAAATCTCTTCATTTAACAACGGTGGTCATGAAACCTAAAGACAGTCTCTGTGAAACTATTTTTACTTTTCATAAGGTTATCTTATTATACTAATCCTCCTTCTTCAACCTATTCCATATATATACATATATATATATATATATATATATATATATATATATATATAACCAAACCCCCACACTGTGCCGTTTCTCCCCTTCTTTTTTGGAGAAGTCTTTTTTGGAGGAAGAATACTTGCCTGTGTTGAGGGCTTACTCCTGGCTCTGTGCTCAAGGATAACATCTAGTGAGACTCGTAGGACCACATAGGATTCCAGGGATGAATCTTGGGTCAGCCTCCTGCAAGTGCCCTATCAGGTATACTATTTCTCTGCCACCCCCCTCCAATTCTTCATCGGGCCCATAAAATTTCTCCTCTTAAGGGCTTTAAAACCCTGAGCCAAGTTTCTCTTTCTTAGATTCTTGTCAGTTTCCCCTTTTGTACCCACTCTTCTATTCCTTTCTCATGTATCCTTCAACCCTCACCCCCTCCAAATAACCACCACAGTGGAAAGCCTCTCAACATTAAGAACTTTTATTACTAATCTATTCACTTACATGCATCTATTTATTTCTTAAAAAATATATCAGAATAAATAAAATGTGTATGGCATTTCAAGCGTTTATGTAAGGCAACCATCTGGTACCTAAAGTGGCACCGACCATTGCAGCTACTTATAGCCATAGAATTGAGAGATGTCCATATCTTTCTCTCTCTCGATAAAAAACTGCACTTGCCCCAAAGAGGTGCATTTGGCAGTGTTCTCACGCTCCTGCTGAGCCTTCCTCTTCATAGCCTCACGCTCTGGTCTCTGCTCTTTTGTGATGGGCTTTGACATGACTGGCTCGGGAACATTGGGCTTTCTCCATGGAATTGGTTGGAAACGGAAGTCTTGGAGTAGAAACTGACTCTGATATTTGGGTGAAGCCTGGTGCTTGGTCCTAGAGACAGGAAGAGGGCCCCACTGGAGAGAAGTGCTAGCTGTTGTCTTGTAGGGAGCAGGTCTAGAAGTTGCAGGCTGAGAAATAGGCCGGCCAGTAGAGCTCAGCAAAGCTGGTCGAGATGGGTTGGTCGAAATGGGCTGAGCTGGTCTAGCAGGACGTGACAAAGATGCAGTAGCTGGCCGGGATGAATTGGTGGCAGTTGACTGAGCTGAGTTGGTAGAGCCAGGCCTGGCAAGGTAAGCTGCAGGAGGACGATGTGAAGCCAGAGACTGTGGTTTTCGAGGAACACGTCGGGCTTGTGGCTTCTCCATGGTAAGAAAAGGCAAAGGTACCAATTTGACCTTCCCAGGAGGTGGCAGCTCAGACTGGGATGGAGCCGAGCGTTCTTCAGCACTGCTGCTTGGTTTCTGAGCTTTGACCTGAGTTTTCTCCAGACCTTTTCCATGCCGTGTAGCACCTGGCCATGGTTTGACAACTGAGGAGGCCTGGATGTCTTTGGACTTCTTTGAACTACCCAGGACCCGGGAGGAAGAACATCCAGGCTTTGGCTCACTCTTCTTCCCCGGTGCATCAATCACTTGCACAGACTCCAGCATTTGCATGCCTAGGCAGCTGCAGGGCTTTTTAAGGGCCTCTTGGCAAAGCTCAGGTTGACTTAACTTGTGTTTCATCCTGGCAACGGTGGGCTTCTCTTCTGCCTTCACCTTCTTCTCTATCTGCTTATTGTCATCAGCTTTCTTAGAGTTTTCTCTAGCCTTTTTTGTCTTCTCCTGCCCATGGCTCTTGGTCTTGCTGATCCTGCTGGACGCAGCTTTCTGAGGTTTGCTGTTCGGTTTGGCCATGGTCACAGGGCACCTGTCACTGACTGCAGCATTACAAACAATCCCTGCTTCCCCTAGCAAGTGTTCTGGGTCTTTGGAAGGGATTTTGGCTTTGGGTTCTCCCTCAAGAGGCTCAGAAGCCTGGTTTTTGTTCTTCTGTGTTGGGTGGGAGGTCCCCTTAGTGCCAACTGAGTTTTCTTGCCCCTGATTCATAGTGATGGTATCTGTGGTGTTCATTCCCTGCGTATCTAAGCATTGATCTAGGTCTTTTAAGCAATCAAACAGCTGGGGAAGTTGTTTATCTTCTACCCACGTCATGATGTCTGCAAAAATACCACCAGATTCAATTCCAGTTTCAAGTGTTTCTGTGTCCTCCAAACATTGATCATCCTTTTCCTGGCGAGTAGTTTCAGTACCAGCCTGTTGCTCTTGGCTGAGAGGATCAGTGCAGGCCAGGAGCTGGTGGATATCAGGGATTTCTAAAGGGCACAGTGGAGGATCTTGATTTTCTATTGGGAACTGGTAGGTATCCGGAGACTCTGAAAGCCCAGTGTTGATCTCATCCCAATAATTATTTGTTTGTTCCTGAGTTGGAGCTGGGGGTAGTTCCAGGATAACTAATTAATTATTATTTATAACCAATTATTAATTAAAATAATCATAATAATATAATAAAATAATTCTATAAAATATATAAAATATATTTTATGGATAAATATATACATAATATATAAAATAATAAAATAAAATATATAAATATGAATATATAAATATTTAAGTAAAAATATATAAATATATATAACATATAAAATAATAAAATATAGGCCCTCCCATTGATCGTCGATTTGCTCGAGCGGGCCCAGTAACGTCTCCATTGGAGATTTTTGTTGTTACTGTGTCTGGCATATCAAATACTCTCAGTAGCTTGCTGGGCTCTCCGGGAGAGGAATCAAACTCAGGTCGGCCATGTTGGCCGCTTGTAAGGCTAATGCCCTACCCACTGTGCTATCGCTCCAGCTATGATTATTATTTATAATTATTAATTAATGATAATTAATTATTAACTAAATAGTAATTAATGGAGCTCATTGTTACTGTGGTAATACTGGTGAACTGATCAACTATGAAAATGTGGCATTCCTTGTTATGCTACTGAAGTTTTCTTTTATGAAACCTAGGTGGTCTTTATACTGTCAGACCTTCCTATCTGCTTTAGAAGCTCTGATGTCGAGTGTGAAAATATGGTGTTATAAAATGAGTGAGAGGAGTTTAAACTTAAACTGAGTTTAATTAACTTCAGGTTTCATAAATTTAAAAATCTCAGTGTATTTAACAGAAATGCCACCTGTCTATGGACAGTTTCCCACTTACAGATTTGACCCCAAGTTTTGAATGCCAGATTTCCCTTCTCTCCGGTTTACTCACCTTGATAACTCGATTCTGTGATGGGTGGAACAGACACAGAGTCGTAGACGACAGAGGTAGAGGCTGGTGGTCGGTTCTTTCGGGACTGGACCTCCTTTAGAACCATAACCATTTCTGGAGATCCATTGCTGTAAGCTTGGAGGGCAGAGCCCCTACCTCCTTTGTATGTCATACAGCCATTGGATTGCAGGCAGGGACCAGATTCTCCAGAAAGAAGAGGTCCCTGAGTGCCCTGATGATAGTAAACCACCTGGCTTCCTTCCTGGTAGGGAAGCAACAGGCTATAACTCTGATTTGGAACCTGAGATGGTGTTCTTTCAATAAGACTGGCAGAAATTGATGGGTACAGAGATACCATGTGGTTGGTATCTAAGGTTTTCTCATAGAGAGCTGCCATAGACATGGAAGAGACATTGGTGTCTTGGTCAAGGATCGTCACAGTAAAGTCTCCCATGTAAGACTTCTCTTCAGTACTTCCTGCAATATCCCACTCCAAAACACTTGGGTAGGAAGCAGACAACGTGGATAGCTGGCTCTGGCCAGACACTCCAGACAGCATTGTTGTGCTAGAATGTTGGTCAAGACAGGCACTACTCATGAGTGGTTGGAAAGAGATGCCAGAATCTGAGGGCAGAAGCCAAGCAGATCTCCCAACTGGAGCAGATACACTGGAGTAGTTGCAGACACTTTCTGTTAGGGAAGCTGCATTGTTCACTACGGGAAGGGGAAGCTGCAGAGAATGTGCAGTTCCCAATAAAGATGGATTTTGAATATTTTCTGTAAGGAACAAGAGGATGATGAAAAAAATCTGTGAGACTGATAATCTCCGACAACTTCTTTTTTCTCTTTTTGGGTCACACCCACATGGATTTGTTGCTTACAGCTAGTTTCTCCTTGTTCTTGCTCTACCCGTAGCTTGCTCTCCTGTTGAACTTTACGCTATTTCCTAGAACGGAAGCGTTTTAAATCTAGGAAGTCCTAAGAGAATGACTAACATGTTATTGGAGAAGAAAGAAACCCGAGGCCCAGAGATGGCATAGAGACTTGTTCAAGCTTTCCCATTATTTTTATTGGGATTGGGGTGGGGTAGAGTTTGGACCAATACCCGGCAGTGATCTTGGGCTATTCCTGGCTCTGTACTCTGGAGTTACCCCTTGTAGCACTCAGGAGACTGGGTGCAGTGACAGAGATCCAACTGGATTGACTGCCTACAAGGCAAATGCATTATCCCTTCCTGTACTATTTTGCTGTCCCTTATGTATTACCAGGTTATGGAACCTAAGCATGCGGACTTTCTTGCTAGGACTCTTCCTTGATCACTACAATGTCAGAAACTAGGAGGAAGATGCTTTCCATTAATATAGGCATGTGGGGTCGTTACAACTATTATCATTGTAATCTTCAGGTTTTCTATTTTGCTTGTGCAGTTCCTATCTATTACCTACGGCTCACATATAACTCAAACTACTTGATGAATTGAAGTTCGCGACTGTACCCTGGTTTCTGATCCCCCCTCAAAAATGACTACTTTAGTTTTTCTCAAGATGTGCTTTTGGAAGGAATACTTGTTTAAATTCTGAGTCTCAAGTTGCTTTCCTGCAAAGGAGTTACTTACAACTCTAATTAAGAACAATGTGCACACAGAAATAAAATTTGTCTATTTCACGTGATTTACATGGGAGGAAGTATAGAGATAAAGAAAAAATCATGAAAAATATGTATCACGGTACTGGAAAAGAAGTATTTAGATATTAATGAAATCTGGGCTATGTGGCAAGCAGCAGAGTATAGTAATTGATTGACAGCAGACCCCAGAGTAAGCCCTGACCAACAGTGAATGTCATCGCCAAACAAAACAAAGTAAACAGTACAATAAGTTTATTAAGAAATTGTGTCAAGTACATGATATGAAGATATGAAGATAGTATTCTATTTTAGCAAAAACTACTAGCCAAAAAAGGGAATAGAAGGTGATTTTTGAATGTATAGTTTACCAGTCCATAAAACAGAAGATTTACCGGTAACTTACATAACAAGCAGAAAATATAATACATGTGATTGCATTTGGTAGCCAGTATATGTTTCAAAGGAGTATAAAGCAGAAATAAATATAATAATTACAAGGAAATGACATTATTATTCTCATCCATACCTCTGAATATTAGCCATCAAACAACAGGTATTAAATAGAGTATACCATTTCAGTAAATCACACAAGAAGCAGAAAAGACCATTTGAAAAATGGTCACAAAAATTTCAGATTTATTTTTAAATCCTAGATGACAAGTATCTTTATCAACCAGGAAAATGGCATTCCCAAAGTTTCAGAAACAATCACCAAAATCCAATTGAAATATTTTTAATGTAGGAAAACTCAGACTCCACCAAACTGAAATCAATGTGTACTTACACAACTGAGACTTGACTTCTGTTTCTTCTTAAGATCTGAAAGCAGGTGTCGACTGCTATCAAAATGCTGTCATGTTAGGAAGAAAGTACTTTTTTTTTGCCTTTTTGGTCACACCCAGCATTGCACTGTAGTTTCTCCTGGCTCATGCACTCAGGAATTACTACTGGTGGTGTTCAGGGAACCATACGGGATGCTGAGAATCAAACCCAGGTCGGCCGCATGCAAGGCAAATGGCCTACCCATGTGCAAGGCAAACGCCCAATCTATCGCTCCAGTCCAGAAAGAAACTCTTTGTGAAGGTGACAAGTTGCCTTAACCTGGACCCTACTTACCACACAAAAGAATCAGTTCTCCTGGTTCTAGTTAGAAGATATCACTTCTTTATTTTAATAGGCAGAGCATAAATGTACCTGACAAACTAGAATGTAATAAAAACATTGAAGGTGATGTATCTTCCATCCCCCTAGGTAACTGATATTAGTTATTTATAGGAAGTATCATTTCTAAAACTTGTTTACATTCAAAACCGCCAAGTGCCAACTGTGTTCTAGTGACAATAAGAAAAGACACCACAGCCATGAATTTCTGATAGGCTGTTTTTCCTATTGGTACCAACTCAAGACATAGTATGTTTTCTAGTCCTAGAATTGATTAAAGTCAACTGCTTTGACTTGCTCTCAGCATAGTTAACTCTATTCGTTCTGTTTGGATTTGAACGATTTGGTTCTCTCCAACGTTCTATCTCAAACTGTTTTTCCTTCCTTGATAATTTCCCTCCATAATCTTTATTTCCTATTTTATTCTCCCTCATATCATCTCCTACTTCTTGTCTTCTGTTGGTCAAAGCTTGTTGAAAATGACCCTAAACTTCCTTACCTTTGAGGACTTGTCCCCCTACCACTCAGCACTCCATACCTTCCCCACAATCCAGTTTTTCTTATCATAGAGTTTAGATAGAAAACTCAAAGGTCACATGATAATGACTTTTGAATAGCACTAAATTTAAAATACTAAATTATAAATTCAAGTTGAGAGACCGCTACAGATAAAACATCCTAGTATATATTGGGTTTTCTACCAAAACTACATTTTCTGTTTCTGTCAAAATATTGTCTCTGATTTACTTTTCTTCATGGATATGTTGAAATCACTATTAAAAGGAAAAGGAAAAACAGAGAGTGAACACTCATATATAAACATGTATTTGAGCTTGTAAGTATGTATCAACTGTAATGTAATGAATGAAGAAAAACACTTTGTATGTGGGATAAAGGAAGTCAGTGTCTAAAATCACATAGCAAATGTGAACATTAAGCTAAAATAAGGCTTACCGTATTCTAGTTGAAAACTTTCCTCTATTATTACATGCTGCTTTTCCTTAACTACTAAGTTTAGGGATAAGAAATCTCATGAAAAGTTTTGAAAAATATTATTCCTTACCTGACATGATCAGAAAAGAGGAAATATCAAGGAAAGGTAAATGAAAAGAGGAGACGATATGAGAGTACGTCTGAACACTGAAGCGGAAGTCCACAAGTGTCCAGTACCAATGACTGATACTGGTGATTGGTCATTGGTCAGTGGTCACTTGCGATGATCCAAGCTTGTTTACAGACAACTGCTTGGGAGCCCCAAGATTCTACCAGGTGCTGGTAGGTTTGGTGGGAGAATGATGTCATAAAGCAGGCAGTTGAAAGGTAGAGGCTAGCCAATAGGGAGGTCAGATTCCCAAGAAGACTGGATTGGATAGACTGAGAGGTAGACTTAAGCAGGCTAGAGAGATGGAATCTTACAAGACAGTTATAACAGTTTCACCTTCCTCAGACTCTTAAGTTAGGGAAAGGCTCCTATTATACTGATGAGCTTACGTATTTCATTAATAAATCAACAGTTACTATGTAATACTTTATATTGCCTAGTTAACCAATAACATTAAGTTACTACTAGTGTATTTTGCATAATGTTTAATTATATTAAATTATATGTTAATGCTTTGTAATATACATTATTACTTACTTTAGGGTTAGGAAATGATGGATTATTATGAGCAATCTTCCCGTAACAAAAAACCCTAAGTTTAGTGTGTTCCACTAGCAAACATGCACCCAGAAAAGAATAGTAGGCAAGGATAGAATAGATGACAAAGTATCTGCCAGCTGTAAACTTGTGCCAGGCAAAATTTATAAATAAATCTTTTATTTATTTTGATTTTGGGGTCCTCACCTAGCCATGCTCAGGGCTTGCTCCTGGCTCCACACTCAGGAATCACTCCTGGAGGAGCTCAGTAGACTGGGTACAAGAGAGGTACCCTGACCACTGCATTATCTCTCCTGCTCAAACAACTTTATGTTTTATGGATGCCTACTGATTTCTGTGAACTACACTAGCCTCTGCTCTCCATGTCCCTGTGACATGTGTATATACTTCCTAACTGTCCTTGTTGTCTCTGTCAACTCCAACAATGGCTCACCTGTTGGGATCTGCTGGGGTTAGGGGAGCAATATTGTATTATATTGACCTGCCATGAGATCACTGAATGCTGCACAGGTGACCCTAACACTTGGCCAATCCGCGTGTTTGTCAACTTCTGTGTTTGTCTCATTCTCTGCAACTGACCGCTGCTGAATGGAGGTTCAAAGTGACAATTGGATTTGGCAGATGAGAAACAATTTAGACAGATTATAACCAATTCTTGTGATTAACAAATTATAACATCTATTAGAAAATCCCAAGTAGTGTGGGATAATTGAGGACCTCTAAAAAGAATCAGAAAGAACACAAGAAATGCTTGAAGGCAGTTTTCATTTAAAATAGTGTCATCATCTGGATCAAAGTGATAATTCAGTGGGAAATGCACTTGCCTTGCACGTGGTGGACCTGGATTCAATCCCTGCCATCCCAATATGTATGGTACCTTGAACCCTTGAGGATTGTCTTCATACATGGCAAGCATTTATCTTTCGGATTGCTTTTTGGTTTCCATCTCGTTAATCTCTGCTCTGAGTTTTATTATTTCCTTCCTCCTGTTTGGGTTGGGCTCCTTTTGTTGATCCTTCTCCAAGATCTTAAGCTATGAGTTTAGGTTATTTATGTGGGCTCGTTCCTCCTAAATATGGAATATATTTATTAAAAAATCATGTGACATTTGTTTCATAATAAATAAGGTGGTGCTAACTATTACTCATTAATAGCTTTGTTGAGATAAGCTATCAATTCTGCCTTTTCGGTCTTCTTAATAGGCATCAAAGATCATTTTTGTTTAAGGGATGTACTTCTTGGGATTGTCCAAATATTCCATCAGTGTGTCCTCTCCATAGGTGATGCCTTTGTTCTTGCTGGCATTAGAATAAGAGAATTCAGGGGCCTGACCCATCTTATGACAAACACACCATGGAGATTGGGCCTGAGCTTGTGCTTGCCTCCCTTCTCTACGGTAGGCACTGAGAGCACTTCTGGGCAAACATCATCTTGCTGTTCTCAATATCACCCACCTTAGAATCCTCCTTCATTGTACATGACTATGAAGCATCTTTCTCGCAAGCCCAACATCCTCTTCTTTATGGAAAGTGTTCTTTTACTGAACCTTGTCAAAGACAAATATAACAGGATATTAGTTAATGCAATAAAAAGAGATTTTATCTAGTACTTCGGTAGGGAAAAACCCTGAGCTCTATTCTGATTTGTGCATTGTGCAGAAATAATTGTTCGTTTTAAAGGGAGAATGAGAAAGTCAAATATATATATATATGCATATTTAGCCATGCTTAGTTAGTTACATATAACTCAGTGACAGTGTGATGTGTACATGTCTTTCATATCTAATGCTCTGGGTTTGATTTTGCTATGAAAAAGAAAAAAGTACACAGAAAGTAGAAATGGTGAAAAATTTAGCAGTGCAATTATACAAATTAGGAAGGAGATTAAGTTCACATATCTGGAAACTCATCCGAGTTTGCCATGAGCATAGATTTAGAGATTGGAGGCCTGGTCAAGTTAGATTTTAAGAAGAACTGCAAATTAATTTGTTAGTCTTTAGTTTTCTCAGGCATGAGCCTAAAGGGGGCTACAGTCATTCTGAGGCTAAGGCTTTTAGCTGTTTAAAATTATGTTAATGTGGATACTGGAGAGATAATACAGCAGGGAGGGTGTTTGCCTTGCACTTGTACAAATCCGGAGTCATGGGTAAGCCGTGAGTACTGCTGGGTTTGGCTCCCCTAAAAAAAAAACAAAAATATACTAAATCTTTGTCAAGTTGATTTTGGAGGGTCAGATGAGGTAGGACCACATCTGGTGTCCTCAATGTCACTCCTGATCAGGCTAGGGAACCATATGTCATGTCTGGGATTGAACCCAGGTTGGCACTATGATATTTTTCCAGACCCTCATAAAGTGTTTTAAAACCTATTTAAGAAACAATTTTGGGGCAAGGGAGAACAGGAGGTTAAGCTCTTACATTGCATGTGGCATAAGATGACTTTATGCCCAGCAAGTATATAAAGTTCAGGGGAAAAAAGGAAGAGGGGGGGGAGGAGGAGGAGGAGGAGAAAAAGGAGGAGATGGTGGAGGAGGAGGAGGAGGAGGAGGAGAAGAAGGAGGAGGAGGAGGAGGAGGAGGAGGAGGAGGAAGAAGGATGAGAAGAAGAAGAAGAAGAAGAAGAAGAAGAAGAAGAAGAAGAAGAAGAAGAAGAAGAAGAAGAAGAAGAAGAAGAAGAAGAAGAAGAAGAAGAAGAAGAAGACAATGACAACGACAGCAGCTGACTTCTTCGAGATAGTGGGCAACTGAGAAAGGAGATTCTGAAAGATCTGGTTAAAATTGCGACAGTGATACTGACTGTCCCATTAGAGCTACTGCTTCTTTGTTCTTTTTTTCTTCATATTACCTGTGAAACATGATTTGCCCTCATCCTTTCAGTAATTTTAAAGCTATTGGTTTTAACTAAATATGCCTTTCTTTAAAAAATCAGGTCTATGAAGTTTATCCTCTGAAGTGTAATGGAATCGCGCAACTTGACTGAAGTGGCTAAACCTATAGATAGTGTGAAAAAGACAGAACTCAACGATCTCAAGGCCAGGGGTATACTAGGGCATATATTTTACATTCTTAAAACATTGGGTTTGGTCCCTGGGATGAAAAATAAAAAAAGAAAAAACACAAAAATGTAGAAGGAGGAGGGAGAGGAAGAGGAGGAGGAGGCAGAAGAGGAAGAGGAGGAAGAAGGAGGAGGGGAAGAAGGAGTGGGAGGAGGGACAGGATGGGGCAGAAGGAGGGGGAGGAGGGGCAGGATGGGGGCAGAAGGAGGGGGAGGAAAGGGAGGAGGAGGAGGAACAGGAGGAGGAGGAACAGGAGGAGGAGGAGGAACAGTTACAGTTACAGTGAAGTCTGACCAGAATTTCATTTGTCAATTGCTTTGGTGGCAAGACCACTGAAGATTTTTAGCTTGGCAATGTTTTTCTTTCAAGTTTATCTCTGGAAACAACTTGAAGCAAAACAAAGAAAAGCTTCAAGTTAACCTTAGGCCTCTCCTTCTGTCATCCCTTCTCTTCTTATGTTCATGCTCATTCTTCTCAATTTATTTCCTCCAACGTTTCTTCTTTGCCCACATAAATCTTACCAACCATCTAATCCTCTTGTAAACTTTCTCTGGTCCAGTTCTTTGTTATTATTTATTTTCCTCCTTTCAATTTGTCCCATGATTTAGTGCTTTAGAGTTTAAATTGTCGCAACCATAATTTCAGTTGTCTTTATCTCCAATTTTTGATGATTTGTTGATTTTTTTTAAATAGAGTCCAGCACCTTTCTTTATATAGCTTCTATCTTATCTTCCACTCCTAACCTCTTTGTCTTAGGTAGCCCTTGCAGTGATGTTATCAATATCCACTTTTATGTTTTATTCCCTTTTATTTTATATTATTAGTGTTGTACACATGGTTAAAATCATCCAATAATTGTCCTTTTCTTCTAACTTACTCTGCTGCTCTTAATTCTTTTAAGTTCATTCCATTTTGCTGCTAATGGCAAAAGTTTACATTTTTAGACTAGCTAAATAGAATGCAATTGTGTAAGTTGTGCCACATTTATGCAAGTATCCATTGGTTGGTACTTATTTTTACTATTGTAAATTAAATAATGCTAAAACAAGCACTGAGGTGGATAATGTATTTTGCTTCAATACCTTTATATTCTTCAAATAATTCTGAGAATTAGGACTGTTGGACTCTATGGTAACTATATATTTAGCTTCTTAAAGAAGTTCTGTACCATATATAAACATTAGGTATACCAATTTACATTTGCACCAAAAAGTGTGAGTTCATTTTCTTCATTACCTCTCAACTCTTGATGTGTTGCTGTGTTAGACTCACAGGTGTGAAGCTGGAACTCATTGTGGTTCTTAGTTATTTATGCATGTATTTACTTTCTGGAGGTCTTTGGCTGCTGGAGCCCTGGTCGGGGCGGGGAGGGAAA